TGTTGAATCCAACGTTTGTGCCTCTAGCATGGGCTTCGTCGGAGTAACCAGCAGCTGTCCCAGCTAGTTCCCCAAGATTGACTTTCTCAGCGGGCAACCGGCTGACCTATCCAGGAGTTAGCCATACGCCGGCGTGGTGTTTTGAAGAGGACTTTAGGGATGCAAATCGCATTAAAAATGCGTGTAGTAAGCTGAAAGGTCGCTCAAATGAGCAGTCATTCTATCGAAGAGATCTGCCTCAGTGTCCAGAGTTTACCTACTTGGAACTCTCAGTTAATATCCTACAGACCGCTCCTTTAGTAATAAGGTTTATTACGGACTTCTTTTTTATTGCGGTTGGACTTGTGTCCCATTTAGGACAGTACCAGTTTCTCCGTAAAAACTCTTGATTAATCTTAGTTCTAAATCCCGGGATATTAACGCAGTGTCACTTGCAAAAGTGGCGTCCACATTGCGGTGGACCATTGTAGAGCTTTCGTTCGTTAACGTGGTCAGTGGATATGTATAATGTATGTATATGTATGTATATGTGAAAAAGAAAACATTTAAGCATCCGAACATCGGACCTGCAGCATAAAGTCGAAGAGGTCCGAATCCCTGACCCCCCAAAATTCTCCCTCCTGCCACTTCACGCCACAGCAAAGGGGCAGAAATGAAGGATTCTTCCTATGCCTTCTCCCTTCTCAGCCGCTGATAGGACGAGGCTATAAACCCTGCCCACTCAAGTTCAAATTATTTAAGACCAGAGAACCTGCTTAGGACCTTTGCTGCATTGTTGATTTTTCTACTCATAGCACGCACGGACAGACAGCTATCGCTCCCGCCTCAAAATTCAATGACAGAACGGAAGTTTCCCCGCGTGTTCCGCCTTTCTTATTGACGTAAACAGCACAGGATCATTAGTTGATGAATATGTGAACTTTATTTAAAGCAGACTGTTGCTGACACAGTATCAGAAGAAGGTTATGAATCATGCATATGAACCATGGAAGCTAAAAGAAAGGGTGTAATTGTTAGAACCGACGGCCCATTCGGAAGTTAATCCGAAATTTAATATTTCGGATGGCTCGACGTATTCCTCTCCACAGCCTCTTGAAGGATCCAGCAGACCTTATAACCTCTGTGTTCTCTGCATTTATCTCCGCAGGTGTCTCCGGTATGTCAGCCGCAGAGAGGGCACTTTCCAGCAGATCATCCTCCCTCTTTATCGCCTCCTTCCTGGGATGAGCAGTGGTCAGGAGAACCACAGAGGCCAGGACCAGCATAGAAATTACTGCAGCTCGAGGAGGCATCATTGGCTGAGCGTACAACATTCACATCCTGCGCACGATCGAGCCAGGCACAAGCTGCTTCCCATCCACACTGAAGTGAACGTGTGGGTGTTCTGGCTTATGAGTAGGTGGCTTGGCGTGTCATGTTCGGAAAATGACTATTCATGTACCCTGTTGAGATGGCCATTTGCAGGAGATTCCCTAACTCATGAAATGTCATTCGGAATTCTGAACTGAGTTTTTGATTTGAACATATAAATTGCGGATGTTTGCAAAAGAGACGATCGTACAGCCTTATCTTAGCATATTTTGGACACTTTTAATGAGCTCCTTTCTGACCACCAATAAAATGTTTGTAGTGTAAAAAGCAACCACTTAAGTAGTATGCCTTTTGTGATTAATTTGGACTGCCTTTATAGATTCAAATATATTTGTTGGCAAACATGCACGAACAGATTATTTCTTGAACT